AGTGTAGTGTAGTGGAAGGTAGTGTCGTGTAGTGTAATGTAGTGTAGTGTAATTTAGTGGAGTGTAGTGGAGTGTAGTGGAGTGTAGTTGTAGTTGTAATGTTGTGGAGTGTAGTGTAGTGTAATATAGTGAAGTGTAGTGGAAGGTAGTGTAGTGGAAGGTAGTGTAGTGTAGTGTAGTGTAGTGTAGTGTAGTGTAGTGTAGTGTAGTGTAGTGTAGTGTAGTGTAACGTAGTGTAGTGTAGTGTAATGTAGTAGAATGTAGTGAAGGTGAAGTTGTAGTTGTAGTGTAGTGTAATATATTGGAGTGTAGTGTGGTGTAGTGGTGGTTGTAGTTGAAAGTGTTACAAAACCCGCACGTTTTGCTCACTTTTGACAAGGTGCACAATCCCTTGCGCCTGCCACGCGAAGCAACATCTGAACCTCCAAAAGTGGTCCGAACCCCTGGTGTTTTTGAACATTTTGACTTCGAAATGTGCTTCGCGCCACAACCGCGTGCACTTTTTCGACATCTGAACTTCCAAAAGTGGTCCGAACCCCTAGTGTTTTGAACATTTTGACTTGGAAATGTGCTTCGCGCCACAACAGCATGCACTTTTTCGACATCTGAGCCTCCAAAAGTGGTCCGAACCCCTGTGTTTAAACATTTTGACTTCGAAATGTGCTTCGCGCCACAACGGCGTGCACTTTTTCGACATTGAACCTCCAAAAGTGGTCCGAACGTGGTGTGTTTTGTACATTTTGACTTGGAAATGTGCTTCGCGCCACAACGTCCAAAAGTGGGCGTGCACTTTGACTTTTTCGACATGCACTTTTTCAACTGAACCTCCAAAAGCGCTCCGAGCACCAGGTGTTTTGTACATTTTGACTTGGAAATGTGCTTCGCGCCACAACGGCGTGCACTTTTTCGACATCTGAACTTCCAAAAGCGCTCCAAGCACCAGGTGTTTTGCACATTTTGACTTGGAAATGTGCTTCGCGCCACAACGGCGTGCAATTTTCCATCTCTCATCTGGCCAGCTGGCTCCGCACCCGCCGCTTTAGGGAGCCTACTTTTCGACCCTCCGGATCCCCAAATCATTTGAAAAACGTAGTGTTTCGCGACTTTCCTACCTTTTCTCGCATCTGCATCTTCTTTCTTCTTACTCTTTCTCTTCTACTCTTCTTTCTTCTAATCTTTCTCTTCTCTCTGCCTCTTCCCTGCTCTGCTTTTCATCTGTCCATATTGTCGGAAGTTTGACTTCTAAACTTCCTTCGATCAGTGATTGTGGATTCTTGTTTCATGATAGCAACATTGCTTCATCATCTTTGTGTCTTTGTGACTGGGATTCGGATGTCAGTAACGAATCAGGGCTGGCAAAACGGTTGGTTCGGTTCTTTTTGTCCGAAGTTTTCTCTGGTTTTTCAAAATCATCTAGCCCCAAAATTGAAGGGGTTCAGATCCAAAAAATGATTGCCAGAAAACCAAGTCTATGGCTCTCCACTATGAAAACTCTACGAGGATTCTAGCTGCGGCGGTTCCCATGGCAATGGAAAGCCCTCCCTGAAAATCACCCCGAATAGATGATCATCCCCTATTTTGCCACTCAGAAAATCTGTTCATTAGCATGTTTAATCACTAGAAGGTGAATCCCGTCTGTTTGCATCTCGATGCTTGTGTATTGTTGCTTTTTTACCTGTCATATCTGTAGATTTTTCTTGTTTTTTGCTGATTCTTCTGTTTGAAACTCATGTTTTTCCAAGAAAAAGACGTTTGTTGGCCGCCAGGCAAAATAAGGAGTTCCAGCCACTCTGGCAGCTCAGCCAGTGGGTGCCATGTGGGTTGATGGGATGGGGTTACTGTGGTTACAGTACGCCCCGTTGCCCCGTGAAATCATAGGGAAGTTGATGGTTTATAGTAAATCTATGGTTTCACTCTTGATGGTTTTTCTAATGATTTATAGTGAAATTTTTAGTGATCCATGGTTTTTATAGTAAATCTATGGTTTCTAGTAAAACTATAGTGATCTATAGGAAATCTAAATCATGATGGTTTTTCTAGTGATCAATTGATGGTTTTTAGTGATAAAAATCACTATTGATCTATGGTTTTTAAGGTAAATCGGACATTGATCACACTGGAAATCACGATAAAAACTGTGATTTATAGTGATTTATAATAGATCGCGATTTCCAATGTCACTGGATTGGTTTAAGGGAAAATCTTAACCGGGAACCATGGTTTTTACTATCAAATATAGGGTTTTCCTGCAAATTTTCCCATCATCCAATTCTATGATAATGGGTTTATTTTTGTGAGAAACATCATTGATGTATGAAATACATGATGGCTTTACCAATGCGAAATCCACGCTGGGAAATCCAAGGAGGGAATATTTTTGATTTGTGGGGTTCCTTAAGCAAATCCTACAATATTGAATGTGGTAAAAGAATTGTATGACCTTTTGGTCAAGATGCTAAAGGATTTGTTATCACTAGAATTTGGTGATGCTAAAAGAGTGATATTTTTGAAGCTGCTCTGCATCTTTTCAGGGGCTACTATAGGATACTATAGGTGGTATTCAAGATAGCGAGCAATTTGCCTTTTTTTGAACAGATACTGAGGAGCCCATGTTTCTTTTCAAGCTGAACCCATTTGGATCTGCATTTGTTCTGGGTCGAAATCTTTTACGGTTCTTGTCATTCAGTGGACAAACAAAATAACTCACGCACATAATCACTGTCAAATCCCATTAGGTCCCCCCAAAAACCCAATATATCAGTTATATCCCACTTATATCCCTTTTCCCAGATAGAAACTTCTATTTATAGGGTTGTCCCTAGATACCCCCATCGTTTATAGTTCGATCTCTCGTACCGATGAAATCACCGTCAAATCACTTTTTTACCCCAGTTCTAGGTGGATTTTCCCATGGAAAAACCGAGAAATTTATAGATGATTTTCCCTAGATCCCCCCATCCCGGTCTCCGTCACGGATAGGTCCAAGAGCCAAAGCCGGCCGCGCAGCACCGCCTCGTCCACCTCGCGGCCACTGGCGAGGCATGGCGGTTTGGAGCGGGGAAACCAGGAAAAAACAGTGCTTTCACCGTGGTTTCAATATGGAAGATGATCAAAAAGATAGGAAATCCATGGGAAAATGGTGGTCTCAGCCATGAAAATTTGGTGGTTTAACAAATATGCTGGTTTGAGATGGTTTGAGTATCACAATATGCTGGGAGGGTATAAGATTAGAATACTATAAGACATCGATGGGAAACTTGTTTAACCAGCAGAAGACGGAAATCTTTGGGTGAAGTACTGTTAACCAGCAATAATAAGGTTAGTGTCGGAAATCAACCATGGTGTGGATAGAAATAGCGATACACTGGGATATGATGATCAGCAATCTGGCATATTAGGAAGTCTTGGAAACATGGACAAACCAACTGGCAAAAGGGGTAAATCATCCCTGGATCCGTTTGTTCGCTGTGGTGAACGCCATACATCGGAAACTAAAGCTTTAGATGTGTGCCTTGGAATATGTAACAGCAAAAAACTAGGAATTAGCCATAGAGGTGTGGATTTGACCACATAGTAAGCGGGGAGAAGCCTTCTTTGGAGAATGAGAGAACTATGGAAAATAGTGGGTTTGATCAAGAAAAATCTGGGAACATGGAAATTGGTAAACCCACTGGTGGGTAGTTTATGGCTAGTTTGTTTTCTGAGATTTTGATGAGAATATCAAGTTTACATGTGTTTCACGGTCTTTAAGGTAGGCCATGATATACATAAGGGGGTTGGCAACGGATATGAGATACCTTCAAACAAACCGAGCTGGCCGAGGTCACTTAGGTAACACGGAAGCTGAAATACATATGACCTGGGCAAATTATATGGTAGACTCATAGGAAAATATGGGGAAAATCCCTATAAATATGGAGGTTTGAATGGGGAAATCGTCTACAATCTGGATATTGCTGGGATATGAATTGCATGTTAATGAAGATATAATGGCATAAATCAATCTATTCGGATGAATTATAACTACCTCACTGCGACCTCACCAGACTTATGGTTCGGAATTGAGGAATCATCCCCGCATCACCTTTTTTCCAGGATGCGTTGGCTGATTTTTTTGGCGATCTCATGGCCGACGCCCCCTAAATATCATGATATGTCTGAATTACGAGGAACCATCAACGGCAGTAAACTTTCTCACCTTTTCGGTTCGTTTTTTCGAACTGCGATGTGTTTACCAATAAGCCGATCCAGAAGAAACTCTGCTGATCCGGAACTGGAACAGATTGTGATTCTAAAATGTGGGTTACAAATATTTTTTGGGTTACAAATATTTTTTCCATGGGACAAGTGAAGAATCATGGTTGGACATGATATCATGATACTGGCGGTACTGCATGACGCTGGATCACATGAATTGTGAGGCTGTGAAGTCAGACCTGACATTGATGACCTGAGCATCCAGCCATTGGCGCAGCCTTTCTTTACCTTGGTTCCATCATCCCAGCCTTTCGGATCAATTCCTGATGGATTGCTCTCAAAAACCAGATGAGACAGCAGATCCACCATGGATTGCTGCCTGGAGTTCAACCCCAGCGATGGGATGCCCGACGATTTTTTGGGACAGGTAGTGATTGGACGCATTCGGCCTGGTATCGTAGGCCCTCAGTTTCCCAGCTTGAGCTGGTTACAACCCAAATTTTGCCACAATATTATCAAACACGGACATTTAAGAAACTGACCAGTGTTGCAAAGGTGGGATATCTGGTCGAGTGCCACTAATTGCTGCAAAACGAGCAATATCACCTTATATCAAACAGGATAGGGTGGAATTTCTATTCCGGAAATCGAACAGGATAGGGTCAAAACATTGGGGATTTTGCATGGCCAATTGGGATTACCATAGGGTCCCAATGCAGGATAAATCAGATAAACCAGCAATTTTTGCTGGAGCTACACTACACTACACTACATTACACTACACTACACTCCACTACACTACACTACATTACACTACACCACACTACCTTCCACTACACTTCACTACATTACAATACACTACACTCCACAACACTACAACTACGACTACACAACTACACTCCACTACACTCCACTACACTAAATTACACTACACTACACTACATTACACTACACTACACTCCACTAGACTACACTGCACTACATTACACTACACTACACGACCTTCCACTACACTTCACTACATTACACTACACTACACTCCACTACACTACAACTACAGCTACAGCTACAACTACACTCCACCACACTCCACTACACAAAATTACGCTACACTACTACATTACACTACATTCCACTACACCCACTACACTACATTGCAGGACGCCCACCATCAGTGATTCCCCATCTCGGATCAGGATCTCGGAAATCCCTGGATCCCATTGTGGGCTTCCATCGACTGAAGGGTTTCCCTTGGATTAGTCTCTATGTTTGCAAAGCCACATTTCATTGGGTAAACCAGCCCATATCTTGTTGGTTAGCTGTTTAAGGTGTAATTATAAATCTTAAGTTTTACATGTTTCTATGTAGCTCCAGCATGCCATAGTTGCATAAATCACTATTTTGTTGAGCCATCATATCTCCGCGGCTAGACGTCCATGGTATGACTCCGCCACTGGCAAGTTGGGCTAGAAAAGTGTGGGTAGCCCACTCTATCCCTAGTATCGTCCAATTTATGACATAGATATATGGATCAAGGGCACAACCATTGATTTAGTTACTATCCAATACATGCCCACATATATTACATGTATATAAATCTATCATTTCTAAAAAACATTCATCACATTGATTTTCTAGAAAACCATAATATTCCAACCATAGATAACAATTCTAAAACCATTGATATTATTCCAACCATAAATCATTTCATATTGTCACATTCCAACCATAGATGAGGTCCCTGGCTCCAGATTCCTAGGCGTGTCCGCGACCCCGAGCGCCCAAGCGGCAGCGTCGGCACCCCTGGCAGCGTCGGAACCCCGGGCGCGGCGCCCCTTACGGCGTCGCCGGCGCTCCATGTGGCGCAAGGCGATGGTGGAATCTATGGGGAAACCTTGGTGGCACAAAATAGTAGTGACAGTGATGATACTAATAATAGTGACTATAGATGGAAATTGGAAACCTGAATCAACATTTTATGATTCTTTAGTTCTTAACAAAACAATATGTTTCATCAAACTATGAAGATCTTCGTTTCGAATTTGAATTTTCGACTGTCTCTTGGTGTTTTGTTCAGGGAAAGGTTTGACTGGAATGAATCTAAATGTTAATTGGGGATGCGTTGATAATTCGGAGTGTTTGCCTCATGTCATCATTCGCGAAGCCCAATCATTGGCATTAGCTTGGTGATTTCTGCCTTGCAGTTGACCGACCTAAATGTTATTTTGCCACCTTCTCCGCGTACAAGTACTTTTTATATGATTATAATGTCATTTGATGTCAGTTGTTAAGTTGTAATCGATGTGCTCAGTACAGATGTAAAGCTGTTCATTTACAATAGACATCAAATCCATCAGACTATTACAACAGATGTTAATGTAATCCACAATAGCCATGGAATCCACAATTGATGTTCAGTATGATGTTAATACACAGATGTAAAGTCTTTTGGCTTTTTCAATCCACGACATTGCCAGGCGCAGAGCGACAAAGTTCGCGAAGCAGAAGCCCAGAGGTGCGACGAAGTTGGTTTTGGACGTCCACCGGTTTTCTACAATTGAAAAAGACGGGATTGAACAAAGAGAACGTGGGGTTTAACATAGCTATGGAAAATCCCACCGGGAAAACCACCATGTTTAGTTCATAAATTAGGGATTCAACCAGTAAAGACTGGGAGAACTACCTTCTGATTTACCAGTTGGCTAACCACCATGTTGAATAGATACCCTCTGGTAAACGTTTACATAACTATGGAAAATCACAATGTTTCATGGGAAAACTCACTATAAATGGTGATTTTTCCATAGCTATGTCGCAGCTATGTTAGTTTACCAGAGGGTAATTGTAGGTAAATCATCAATAGACCATGGACCATGTTCCGCCATTCCATAGCCATGACCGGAGGTTATTTGTATCAGCGGGACAAGCGTCGCCTGTCGTGAATGGTTCACTATGGCTAATGGTAGATATGTCGAACTGATTAATATCTACCAATTCTACCATTAGCCATAGTTTATTAACCAACTCTGATTAATATCGATTTTATCAACCAACTTGTAGTTGATTCATGGGGATAGTTACCCCACTCTGCCTAATGGGTGGTTTAACAAGCAGTTATTTGGATTCAATGATTGCAATGAGATTTTTTTGGGGACATCAATGACGAATCTCAATCAGTTGCCGCCTACTTGACTAGGTTGGTGGAAACAACTGGTTTACTTACTGGTGCTTAGCAGGGAAGAGGGAATGATCCACAATAACTATCAATCATCATCCCATTCCCCCATTCCCATCCATTCCCTACTAAGCACCAGTAAGTTTACTTCGGTTTTTAATTGGATATATCTGTAGTTAGGATTGTAGAGATTGTTGTTTGCCCATGGTGTCATTGGAATTCAACCGCAGTCCACTTTGTGATCACCCAATGGCAGTTACCTTTTAGGGGCTGGCTGAATCCGCATGATGGAGAGTACGTCCATGGTTGACCAATGATATTTTTGGTGGTGATATGATACCATCAATAGAGAACGTGTAACATTCGGACTGTCCCCCATTGGGCCAAACTTGAAACAGGTTAATCCGGTTAATCCTCTCTTAGGCCATCAATGGCGAGATTTGATATGCACATATGAAAGCAACTGGGCCTGTGTTTTTTGCAGCTGAGGTTCCAACTTGAAAGTTGATCTATTCCCCAAACCACTGACCCATGATGGAACTGGATGCTCCATTTCAGAAAATGCCCATTCATTATTTGCTCAGCTTTGTAGTGAAAACAGTGACTTTGTTTCGAATGGTTTTCCCAATATTGTTGGTTCTTATCTCCATGTTGTTGGGAAACCATTTCAACTACCATTGGTTAAGTTAGAACCATCTCAAAGCCTCGCAAGACTGCCAATTCTACACTCATCAGCCAGCAGAATGGGTGAATGTTAACCTCAGATTCACTTCTTTTTGGATGCCTTCAATTTTGTTGGTACCTGATTTTACCTCAAGATATCTTCCGCCTGGGCCACGTTGAAACAGTGAACACTATCTAGATGTGTGGTTGATTTATGATAGTTAATAGGCTTTGGAATATACAAATCATAAATTGCGATAGCTACCTATCATATATAAACTCATCATTTATCGTTTCATCTTGTTTAATGATATAATTTTATTAAGTTATTTTTCATCATTTATCATAAATGATTGCTTAATAAATGATCAATGATTGTTTAATAAATGATTAGGTAATGTATGAACCATATTGGCAATAACTTTCCTACACCATATCTTAACCAATCCATTTTACACAATCCCCGCTACCCATTGATGGCTGCCAGGCGCTCGCTGCCGCTCCACAAGCCCAGGAGACATTGGGAATGAATGGGATATAATTGTGGTGTGCTCATGCATAAATATTTAACCAAGGTTATGCGTATCCCATTTATATCCCATTTATATCCCATTAATATCCCATTTGTATCCCATGTATATCCCATTTATATCCCATTAATATCCCATTTGTATCCCATGTATATCCCATTTATATCCCATTAATATCCCATTTGTATCCCATGTATATCCCATTTATATCCCATTAATATCCCCTTTGTATCCCATGTATATCCCATTTATATCCCATTAATATCCCATTAATATCCCATTTGTATCCCATGTATATCCCATTTGTATCCCATTAATATCCCATTTGTATCTCATTTATATCCAATTTATATCCCATTAATATCCCATTTGTATCCCATGTATATCCCATTTATACCCCATTAATATCCCATTTGTATCCCATGTATATCCCATTTATATCCCATTTGTATCCCATGTATATCCCATTTATCCCATTAATATCCCATTAATATCCCATTTGTATCCCATTTATATCCCATTTTTATCCCATTTGTATCCCATGTATATCCCATTTATATCCCATTAATATCCCATTTGTATCCCATGTATATCCCATTTATATCCCATTTATATCCCATTTATATCCCATTTATATCCCATTAATATCCCATTTGTATCCCATGTATATCCCATTTATATCCCATTAATATCCCATTTGTATCCCATGTGTATCCCATTTGTATCCCATTAATATCCCATGTATATCCCACTTACGCCCCATTTAACCAAGGTTGGGAATAAATGGGATTCATGTGGCTACAACGCTGTCAAAAACCACCCACTTGGGAATGGTTTATAGCACCTATAAAAATGGTGATTTTGTTGGAAATTTTATCATTGTTCTAACGACATTAAACGGGATATGTTCATGAATAAATGGGATTAGGATATTTGAGCAAGTTTAATTCAGATATAATATGGAACATGAAGATTAGGGATTTACTTGAGCAATGAAATTTACTGGGATACATTAGCGGGTGCCCTATAACTAGCGGTGATCATATGAAATCTAATATATCTCTGCTCAGGAACTGGTGAAGAATCTCTATGTTACCCACATACATATATATGTATATGTATATATACATACATATATGTGTATATGTATATGTATATATATATATGTATGTATGTATATGTATATGTATATGTATATGTATATGTATGTGTGTATATGTATATGTATATGTATGTGTATATGTATATATGTGTATATGTATACGTATATATATGTATGTATATGTATATGTATATGTATTTGTATATATGTATATGTATATATGTATATTTGTATATATGTATATATGTATATATGTATATGTATATGTGTATATATATACATACCTGAATTGAGCTCCAAAAATGGTAAATCACTGGGACAATCTATGGGGTGAATCACTGGGATATCTGGGTCAGTTCGGGTTATCATCCCAGTTGCGCACGTTGATTTCTAAAGCCCATCTGGTTGGTGGATATATGGTTATTATATGGGCTTATAATGGGATAATCATCTTTATAATGGGATGATATATCAATAATAGTGGTTAATGATGGTTAATGGTGGTTAATGATGGTTAATGATTGTTAATAATCACTGGTTGGTGGTTTGGAACATGCTTTATTTTCCCCAATAGTTGGGATGATGATCCAATCTGACGAACTCCATCATTTTTCGGGGGTAGGTATACCAGCAACCAGCCATCAACTTCGATAAATCTACCACCACAGCAATGGCGACACCTCGATTTTCAGGTTTCCATGCCACGTGCCCCCCATTGATAGGGGTTAATATATCTGGGTCAATTATAACGACCTCACTGCGACCTCCATGGAAATCATAGTTAGTAAGGGAAATCATCCCCAAATGGCCTTAATTCAGGTTAGTGAAATATTGTAATTTACCCAGATATATCCATTGAAAGGAAATTCTATTGATGGGTGAGATGATTAAACAGAATACACCCAGAAAATGTCAATGACTCATCTTGACTGGTCAAGTGTGGATCCTCACTACTATGGTAGGGTAAAATCAGTCATTTGACTTTCAGGGATACATCATGTTGACAAACAGCCAATTACCACTACAATTGTATTTACAATTATCACTTACAAACAATCACTTTGTAAATAGTTTCTGGTTGGTGGTTTTGAACATTTTTGGTTCTCCATAGTATATGGGATAATCCTTCCCATTGACTAATATTTTTCAAGATGGTTAAAACAACCAACCAGATAGATTTGTTTTCCCTAGTGTTTACAAATTACTTAACAATCACTGCGCATAGGCTGATCGCTTCGGACGGGGGTCATACAACCCATGGTATCAGCTTGAACAAATAAGATCCCTTTTTTAGGGCTATGTAGGGGGGATATAGCCCCACAATATGACCAGAAATATGGTACTAACGTACCTCCATAGGATCCTGAAATTCCACTTGAACATGAGCATGAAGAAATTTGGGATTTCTTGGAAGAAACTCCAGCCCGCCTCTGTTTCCTAAACTCCAAGCGTTGATATTAGTGATGCCCCATTCTCACCATACCTTTGCAGGTTGTGTTGGCTTCCCAAAAATTACTGGGGAAGCCTCGGATGGATAGATTACTCCTTCCCATCATCTTTTGCATTGGTGATACCCTCTGGTAAACTCACATAACTATGGAAAATCACCAGAGTTCATAGGTAAATCAACTATAAATGGGCAATTTTCAATAGCGAACTGTTAGCTTACCAGAGGGTAATCTTTTGCATTGGTGATACTAAAACAATGAGCCAGCTCAATATTTGTCTATATAAATATATCAATAGGATGCTGCGTATCCAAGATTGGCCATGGTTCCGCCATCATTCCCCATGTCACCATGTCATATCTCCGTCAAACCTCCATTCAACGCGCATGAATTCATCGTTCAAGTTGCTACGACAACCAAATCTCCATTCAATCCCCAGTAAATATTCCATTGGTTCCCAAGTCTGGGAAATTTCAGGTTGATATAGTCATAAATTTATATCCCATTAATTCATGTGGGAACCATAGAAACCTATCTGAGTATCACCATGAAATTTCTCCATTATAACCGTTATATCCCACTAATTATACCCCATTAACTCCCATAGAAATCTGAAATTTCTCCATTGAATTCACCCTGAAATCACCAGGAGTTGACCGATCGTGTGGTCTCACAGATCATGTCGCGGAGGCATGGGGGAGTCATGGCTTTTCTAGTTGTACAGAGTCAAACAAAGTGGCTGGGTCGATGGGGTAGGCTTCGACAATATATATGTATATATATATGGTTCATAGGGTACCCTCTGGTAAACTCACATAATGAACGGAAAATCAGCATTTTTAATAGTGAAATCAACGAACTAAATGGCAATTTTCAATAGCGAACTGTTAGTAAAACTGGTGGGTTAGTGATTTGAAATACATTTTCTTGGGACATTGACAAGAAATGATCCCAATGGTCCCAGAATACCAGATATAGATGCCTTCGCAATATCAGAATCTTGCCAGCCATTAGGTTGTTTTTGAGTGGCCATGACACTAGTCATTCCATGGTCAGATGGAACCCAATCTTCCATGGTAGGTTGGAATCCCTACATGGCAGAAACACAAATTCAGGTTGTTAACCGGGTATAATTAATGGGATATACTGGTTATAATGGAGAAATTTCATGGTGATACTAATGGGATTTATAATTTCCATTTCAGATTGGGGTTGTTCGCCCACCGTTCAAAAGACTATGACACAAATTTGGAAGGTTCCACCAGATGGAGATGTGATCGATGTGTTTTTTAATGTTACATGATACATGTTTTTCAACCCGGAGAGTTTTCCAAGATGATTGAAGTTTGAACATGAACAGATTTCTGAGTCACTCTCGGATTGCTACTTTCGCGCTTCAATCTGTTCCTATAACCCCATGTTTGCCAACCTAACTTGTTGCAAGGTATCCAAGATTGGCCATGAAATTTGCCATATAACCGCGATAGCATGGAATTTCCGTCGCTTGGCACAATCCACTGACACCCCTGCGAAGCTGTGACTTCCGCAAAATACTCGGATTTATCTAGGCCGTCGACATCCACAATCGGAATATTTGAAAAACTACGGCGTCATTGGGGAAGCCCCAGATAGATGGCTTAATAAAAATGTTCCATGTCTCTTGTTTTATTTCATGGGCCCAACAAGGTAGAAGAATTTCCTCCGCCAGGCTTGTGCAGGAATCAGATTTGGAAGATCTTCGTCTCAATGTGTACCTCGGTTCAGCGCTTCATGGCCCAAGTGATGGTTTGGTAGTGGATCTATTCATGTGAAGCTACAGCAACCTTAAAAGAAACCCCAAAAAAGATAGAAAAAAAAATGGAATCCCACTGTTAATAGTGATAAATTACCGTTCCATCTGTTTGGGGTTACTATGAATGATACTGATTGTGCAATTAGGGGATGGTTAATAGGATGTATTCAGGGGCCGTAAGTTTCCCCGGCAAAATGTCTAGTTCTTAGTGTTTGCTGGTGATAAAATCCCAGTCTCCTTGCTCACTTGGTATTCTGGTAGCCAAGGCTTGGTTGGGAACATGTGCCCCGGGCGCTTCACAACTTATTGGTAAAAACATGTGGGTTTTTCTGAAATTCTGCTATCCCAAATCCCATGGGTGTGTCATTATCTACCTTTTAACAAATCTGGTTGGTGGTTTCAAACATTTTTTATTTCCATAATATATGGGATAATCCTTCCCATTGACGAAGTCATATTTTTCAAGATGGTTTTTGCACCACCTACCAGAGATATATATATATATAATATGTTATAATCACATCGCATAACCATCATATAACCACGATTTAATTGGTATTATAACCAGCCAGAAATGCTTGTTTGGGGGAATCATCATTTTCAGATGCACCCATGCAGTGTTTTCTAGAGCACCGGGCGCCGGGCGCCTAGGATGTCAATTTTACAGCCGGCCCTGAAGAGAAGCAGCTGGGGAAACTCAGTCAAGCCATGTCCGCGTCCTGGTGAATGATCGAAATGGCGATTTTTTTGGGTGAAAGAAAAGATGTTGATGTAACTTATAAGTTATAACCAACAACAAGATGATAGGATTATGGGTAACTTGGCAAGTTTGATTAAAATTTGATATATTTGAGATGTCCTTAAACTGATCTAATTGATGTAGATGATATGTTTTAGAGCTGATATGTGATACAAGTGATGCAACTGATATGAACTTTAACCAACAAGAACATGGTGATATTTGGGAGACCACCCTACCAGAACTGGATAGCAAATTCGGGGCGTTTTCTTCCCAGGTACAAAGGGAATGTCACCCCAGGACTTATTCGGGCTTAGTCCTAAGTTGTGCATGCCCCAGTTTATGGCCATTATAACAGGGAAGATTGGATTTATCTGAATTTAAGACTGTTATAATGGTTTCAAAAATGTTTTTAATAGGATTTAAGACTCTTATGATGGTTTATACAAATGTTTATTATAGCATTTAAGACTCTTATGATGGTTTCTGAAATGTTCCTTTTAGGAATTAAGACTCTTATGATGCTTTTTGAAATGTTTATTGTAGGATTTAAGACTCTTATGATGGTTTATGAAATGTTTATAATAGCATTTACGACTCTTATGATGGCTCATGAAATGTTCATTATAGAATTTAAGACTCTTATGATGGTTTATGAAATGTTTATTGTAGGATTTAAGGCTCTTATGATGCTTTTTGAAATGTTTATTGTAGGATTTAAGACTCTTATGATGGTTTATGAAATGTTTATTATAGGATTTAAGGCTCTTATGGTGGTTTTTACAAATGTTTATTATAGCATTTAAGACTCTTATGATGGTTTCTGAAATGTTCCTTTTAGGATTTAAGACTCTTATGATGCTTTTTGAAATGTTTATTGTAGGATTTAAGACTCTTATGATGGTTTATGAAATGTTTATAATAGCATTTGCGACTCTTATGATGGCTCATGAAATGTTCATTATAGGATTTAAGACTCTTATGATGGTTTATGAAATATTTATTGTAGGGTTTAAGACTCTCATGATGGTTTATGAAATGTTTATTGTAGGATTTAAGACTCTTATGATGGTTCATGAAATGTTCATTTTAGGATTTAAGACTCTTACGGTGGTTTATGAAATGTCTATTATAGGATTTAAGACTCTTATGATGGTTCATGAAATGCTTATTGTAGGATTTAAGACTCTTGTGATGGTTTGCGACATGTTTGCTGTAGGATTTAAGACTCCTATGATGGTTTATGAAATGTTTATTATAGGATTTAAGTCGCTTGCGATGGTTTTTGGAATTGATATAATAGCATTTGAGACTCTCATGATAGTTTATGAAATGTTTTTTATGGATTGAAGACTCTTACGATGGTTTATGAAATGTTTATAATAGCATTTGAGACTCTTATGATGGCTCATGAAATGTTCATTATAGGATTTAAGACTCTTATGATGGTTTATGAAATGTTTATTGTAGGATTTAAGGCTCTTACGATGGTTTATGAAATGTTTATTTTAGGATTTCAGGATTTTTTGATGGTTTATGAAATGTTCATTTTAGGATTTAAGACTCTTACGATGGTTTATGAAATGCTTATTGTAGGATTTAAGACTCTTATGATGATTTATGAAATGTTTATTGTAGGATTTAAGATTCTTATGATGGCTTATCAAATGATTATTGTAGGATTTAAGGCTCTTATGATGGTTTATGAAATGTTTATTATAGGATTTAAGACTCTTATGATGGTTTATGAAATGTTTGTTAGAGGATTTGAGTCTCTTATGATGGCTTTTACAAATGTTTAGAATAGCATTTGAGACTCTTATGATGGTTTATGAAATGTTTATTTTTGGAAAGGCTCTTACGATGGTTTTTGAAACGGTTATTATAGGATTTACGGCTCTTATGATGGTTTATGAAATGGTTATTTTGGGATTTAAGACTCTTATGATGGCTTATGTTTTTTATTAGGTTTTAAGACTCTTATGATGGGTTATAAAAATGTTTATAATAGCATTTGAGACTCTTATGATGGTTTTTGAAATGTCTATTATAGGATTTAAGACTCTTATGATGGTTTTTGAAATGTCCATCATTGGATTTAAGACTCTTATGATGGTTTATGAAATGTTTCTTTTAGGATTTAAGACTCTTACTATGGTTTATGAAATGTTCCTTTTAGGATTTAAGACTCTTACTATGGTTTATGAAATGTTTATTTCAGGCTTTAAGACTCTTACGGTGGTTTATGAAATGTTTATTGTAGGATTTAAGACTCTTATGATGGTTTCTGAAGTGGTTATTTTAGTGTTTAAGGCTCTTATGACGGTTTATGAAATGTTTATTGTAGGATTTAAGACTCTCATGATAGTTTATGAAATGTTTTTTATGGATTGAAGACTCTTACGATGGTTTATGAAATGTTTATAATAGCATTTGAGACTCTTATGATGGCTCATGAAATGTTCATTATAGGATTTAAGACTCTTATGATGGTTTATGAAATGTTTATTGTAGGATTTAAGGCTCTTACGATGGTTTATACATATTTTTTTAATAGCATTTGAGACTCTTATGATGGTTTATGAAATGTTGATTATAGGATTTAAGACTCTTACGATGGTTTATGAAATGCTTACTATAGGGTTTAAGACTCTTATGATGGTTTATGAAATGTTCATTATAGTATTTAAGGTTCTTATGAAGGCTTATGAAAGGTTTATTGTAGGATTTAAGACTCTTATGATGGTTTATGAAATGGTTATTTTCGTATTTAAGACTCTTATGATGGTTTATGAATGTATATTTTAGGCTTTAAGACTCTTTTGATGGTTTCTGAAATGTTTATTGTAGGATTTAGCACTTTTAGGATGGTTTATGAAACGTATAATTTAATATTCTCTTATGATGGTTTATGAAATGCTTATTGTAGGATTTAAGACTCTTATGATGGTTTATGAAATGTTTATTGTAGGATTTAAGATTCTTATGATGGTTTGTGAAATATTTATTATAGGATTTAAGGCTCTTATGGTGGTTTTTACAAATGTTTATAATAGCATTTGAGGCTCTTATGATGGTTTATGAAATGTTGATTATAGGATTGAAGACTCTTATGATGGATTATACAAATGTTTGTAATAACATTTGAGACTCTTATGATGGTTTATTAAATGTCTATTATAGGATTTAAGACTCTTATGATGGTTTTTGAAATGTGTATTTTAGGATTTAAGACTCTCATGATGGTGCATTAAATGTTTATTATAGGGTTTAAGACTCTTATGATAGTTTATGAAATTTTATTATAGGATTTAAGACTCTTATGATGGTTCATGAAATGTTCATTATAGGATTTAAGGCTCTTATGATGGTTTATGAAATGTTTATTGTAGGATTTAAGGCTCTTATGATGGTTTATGAAATGTTTATTGTAGGATTTCAGGATTTTTGATGGTTTATGAAATGTTCATTTTAGGATTTAAGACTCTTAGGATGGTTTGTGAAATGTTTATTGTAGGATTTAAGACTCTTTTGATGGTTTATGACATGTTTATTATAGGGTTTAAGACTCTTATGATGGTTTGTGAAATGTTTATTATAGGATTTAAGACTCTTATGATGGTTCATGAAATGTTTATTATAGGATTTAAGTCGCTTGCGATGGCTTATGAAATGTTCATTGTAGGATTTCAGACTTTTATGATGGTTTATGAAATGTTTATTATAGCGTTTGAGACTCTTATGATGGTTTATGAAATGTTTATTTTAGTATTTATTTAAGGCTCTTTTGATGGTTTATAAATTGTTTTTTGGATGTCAAGACTCTTATGATGGTTTATGAAATGTTTATTGTAGGATTTAAGGCTCTTATGATGGTTTATGAAATGTTTATTATAGTATTTAAGACTCTTATGATGGCTTATGAAATGTTTATTATAGGATTTTAGACTTCTTATGATGGTTCATGAAATGTTTATTATAGGATTTAAGTCGCTTGCGATGGCGTATACAAATATATGTAATAGCATTTGGGACTCTCATGATGGTTTATGAAATGTTTATTATAGGATTGAAGACTCTTACGATGGTTTATGAAATGTTTATTGTAGGATTTAAGACTCTTATGATGGTTTATGAAATGTTTATTGTAGGATTTAAGATTCTTATGATGGTTCACGAAATGCTTATTGTAGGATTTAAGACTCCTATGATTTTTTGAAATGGTTATTTTAGGATTTAAGGCTCTTATTGTAGAATTTAAGACTCTTACGATGGTCTATGAAATTTTTGTTTTAGCATTTAAGACTCCTTTGATGGTTTATGAATGGATATATCATATTGCTGATGTTTGTGTGCGTGCTAGATACATCTTTACTGCCTGCTTCTGTGCATTCGCTGCTGGCTGCAGGATGGTAAGAACCTCAAACATAAGTCAGTGAGTCAGATTTTTGATTTTAAGCGGCAGCTACCTGCGCAGGACTTCAGCTCTTTCACCGATGCGGCTGTGGTGCCCGCAGTGGGCGATTCATCGGCGCCTGATTATACAGACCTCGATGAAGACGAGGATGGGGGTGCCGATGGACAGCCCATCTTGGAAGAGCCCTTGGTGGTGAGATTCCTGGAGGACACGCCGGTGTCCAAAGGGGTGAGGCTGCTTCACCCGTTTCGCCAGCAGAAGCTTCTGCATCTTGGCATTGCGTGGTATTTTGGCGACGCTTTTTGTAATATTTCCCCACATCACTGTGCGGGGTTCTTGTTTTTCGCTCTGCACCCGCCGCTTCCGCGTCTGCGTCCGCGTCCGCGTCCGCCCGCCCTGCCGCCACCTCGTCACACAGCACTCATCACTGCACCACTTATCACATCTCACTTATCACACCTCACTCATCACAGCACCACTCATCACACCTCACTCATCACAGCACCACTTATCACATCTCACTCATCACA